TTTTCCTCGCAGTCGAACATATCAAAATCTCTAGATCATGCATGTATAATCGATGTATGTTTCTCTGAAACTATAGTCCGGCAACTAGTAAGCAGGCAGAATATTGCCGACCATTAGGGCAACGCAGTTTCAATGCAATCCATCTACAAACATTGCAAGATCAAGCGCTCTGTTGCAAAGGCCTAGGAACCTTCTATTGAACAAACACAACACCAGCACGTGAAGTAGTTTTGAAGTGGTCAAATTTCAGTTTTACATGTCTTCAATAATGTAGTAGTGGAGTCCTAGTTTGTAGGGGTTTGTTTCTACACGTTTTAGTTAGTGGGATATGTTAGTGGGTCTTTGTTATTGTTATCCTGTTGTTATTTTCTTGCTGAGTAGTTTTCAATGTTATGCCTATTCAATAGGCTTGTGATCTGTTGAGTAAAAGTACGAGAGTTTTTCAGCGGCAATTTTTTGTGTGTGTTCTCTTCTACTTTTTGCTCTCTTTAGAGGTTATTGAACCATACTTGCCGCTTGTTCTTTTTCAACAATCTGGTATCAGAGTCAGGTTCTGGGTATTTCGTGAGCATCTCTATTGCCAAGATGGGTGATCTTCAAGTCGTTGGCGGAATCAAGAAGCTCGGAACAGCAAAACTACAATTCTTGGTCTACCCGCATGATGTCTTATATGCAGGGCCAGGATTTGTGGGAGGTTGTCAATGGAAACGATGTGAGACAACCGGAGGCTGAAGATGCGAATGGGACATTGCGGAAGTGGAAGATTAAAGCGGGCAAAGCCATGTTCGTTTTGAAGACGACAGTTGAAGAGGATGTGCTGGAGCATATCCGAGATGCGGAAACTCCCAAAGAAGCTTGGGATACGTTCACCAAGCTGTTCTCTAAGAAGAACGATACGAAGCTCCAACTCTTAGAAAGTGAGTTGTTGTTGATGGCGCAACGCGACATGACTGTCACTCAGTACTTCCACAAAGTGAAGACGTTATGCCGAGAGATTACTGAATTGGATCCGGAGGCTCCGATTGGCGATACCAGGATGAAGCGGATCATCATCCATGGTTTGAAGCCAGAATTCAGGAGTTTTGTTGTTGCCATACAAGGATGGCAAACTCAGCCGTCGCTTGTCGAATTCGAAAATTTGCTAGCTGGTCAAGAAGCATTAGCCAAGCAAATGGGAGGAGTCTCGTTGAAGAATGGAGAAGAGGCACTCTACGCCAACAAAGGCAAGTGGAATTCCAAGCGGCATGCCCACGGTGGATCCAAAAAGAACGATGACAAGGCGAGAAGTCATCAAGATGAAGGGAGCGTTCGTGCATGGAAAGGTTCTAAGAACCACGGCAATGGCCAAAAGTTTGAAGGGAAGTGCTACAACTGCAATAAAAAAGGTCATATGGCGAAAGATTGCTGGTCAAAAAAGAAGGCCATCGAGAGTAATGCCTGCTACTTCAAAAACGAAGACGAATGGGATCTTTGAGGCTTTCTTTGTTGTAGATAAGGAGGAGCTAGCTCTTATTGCAACAACATTCAATCAAATCGATTATGAGAATGATTGGATTGTTGACTCGGGCTGCTCAAACCATATGACCGGCGATAAAGAAAAGTTGCAGAACTTGTCGGAGTACAAGGGAAGTCGGGTGGTGGTGACGGCGAATAACTCAAAGTTACCGATAGCCCACATCGGTAATACGACCGTCTCTCCCCAATGTAGCGATGCCGAGGTGCCACTCCAAAACGTCTATCATGTTCCAGGTATGAGAAAAAATCTTCTCTCGGTAGCACAATTAACATCTTCCGCCATTTTGTTCGTTTGGTCCACAAGATGTGAAGATATATCGAGACCTTGAGATTACTGAAGAGCCAATAATGAAGGGACGAAGAACGGAGTCTGTCTACGTAATGTCTGCGGAAACCGCATATGTAGACAAGACGAGAAGGAATGAGACGGCAAACTTATGGCACATGCGACTAAGTCACGTTAGCTATTCCAAGCTAGATGTGATGATGAAGAAGTCGATGTTGAAGGGACTTCCACAACTTGAAGTGAGAACAGACACTGTATGTGCAGGCTGTCAGTATGGAAAAGCGCACCAGTTGCCGTATGAAGAGTCTAAATTTAAAGCGAAGGAACCATTAGAGTTAATACACTCTGATGTGTTTGGACCAATTAAGCAAGCCTCCGTTGGTGGGATGAAGTATATGGTGACCTTCATTGACGACTTCTCGAGGTACGTGTGGGTTTACTTTATGAAGGAAAAATCTGAAACTCTTTCAAAATTCATAGAGTTCAAGAAGGTAGCGGAAGCGGAGGTTGGTAAAAGAGTCCGTTGTCTACGCACCGACAATGGGGGAGAGTACATCTCAAATGAGTTCACAGATTTCCTTCGGGAGTGCGAAATACGCCATCGGTTCACATGTGCTAGCACTCACATGACAAAACAGGGGTGTCGAAAGGAAAACAGGCATCCGGCGAGAAGTATGTCGAAGTATGCTTCATTCAAAGAATGTTCCGGGACGGTTTTGGGCGGAAGCTATGAAGACTGCGGCCTTCGTGACCAATAGGCTTCCTCAACAAAGGTTATGCTTTCGTTCACCCTTTGAAAAAATATGGAACACGAAGCCTGCTGTTGGTCATTTTCGAGTTTTTGGATGCGTGTGCTATGTATTTGTACCTGGCCAGTTACGTAGCAAGATGGAGAAAAAGGCTGTTAGGTGTATCTTTGTAGGATACGACAGTCAAAGAAAAGGGTGGCGATGTTGCGATCCAACAACCGGGAAATGCTACACATCTCGGAATGTGGTGTTTGATGAAGCTTCCTCATGGTGGTCCTCGAACAAGGAAGTACTACCGGACTCAGATGTTTTTAAGGAAATGTTAGAAATTTCTCAATTCCAATTGAGTTCAAGTGAAACAGAGGTTGCAGACGACGATGTAGATGTTGAAGACGGCATAGCTCAAAATCCTTGGCAAACAGGTGTATACCAAAGGCCAAGCGAAGAAGATGAGCCAAGTGGAGCAAGTACACCAACTGCACTTAGAAGGTCAACAAGAGCCCGAAAGCCAAATCCTAAGTATGCTAATGCCGCCATAGTAGAAGAGGCAGATGCAAAAGAGCCTGAGACATTTGAGGAAGCGTTTCAGAGTTCGGAATGGATTAAGGCTATGGAAGAGGAAATTGCTGCGTTAGAGCGAAATCAGACTTGGGAGCTCATACCAAAGCCAAGAGATGTGAAGCCTATTTCTTGCAAATGGGTGTACAAGATAAAGCGCCGCACAGATGGATCAATAGAGAGGCACAAAGCTCGTCTGGTAGCTCGAGGGTTCTCTCAACAATATGGACTAGACTATGATGAAACATTTAGTCCAATTCTGAAGTTTACAACCTGTACGAGTTCTACGGGCACTTGCAAGCAAGCAAAAGTTGGAACTTGTGGCAAATGGACGTGAAAAATGCAGTTTTGCATGGGGAGCTAGATCGGGAGATCTACATGAGCCAACCAATGGGCTTTCAGAATCAAGATCATCCTGAGTATGTGTGTAAGCTCCGGAAGGCTCTCTATGGGCTAAAACAAGCACCGAGGGCTTGGTATGGTAAGATTGCTGAATTTCTTACTCATAGTGGTTATTCGGTGACATGTGCGGATTCTAGCTTGTTTGTCAAAGCTAAAGAAGGGAAGCTAGCTATTTTGCTGGTGTATGTGGATGATTTAATCATCACAGGAGATTGGGAAGAAGAAATTCTCCAAACCAAGGAGAATTTGTCAGTTCGCTTTCAGATGAAAGAACTTGGACAGCTCAAACATTTTCTTGGTTTAGAGGTCGACTACACTCAGGAAGGAATATTTCTCCATCAGCAAAAGTATTCAAAAGATTTGTTGAAGAAATTTGCAATGCTTAGATGCAAGCCAATCTCGACACCGATGGAGGCAAACGTCAAAATGTGTGCTCATGAAGGGAAAGATTTAGAAGATGCTACCATGTATCGGCAGTTGGTGGGTAGTCTTATCTACTTAACTTTAACAAGACCGAATGTTTCTTTTGCAGTTGGTGTGATGAGTCGCTACATGCAAAATCCGAAGAAGACTCATTTGGAATCAGTTCGTCGAATCTTGAGATATGTGAAGAGCACGCTTGGCTATGGTATTATGTACAAGAAAGGTGGAGATTGCAGACTAGTTGGCTACTGTGATGCCGACTATGCAGGTGACCATGATTCCCGGCGTTCAACTACTGGGTATGTCTTCATGCTTGGGTCCGGAGCAATTTCTTGGTGTAGTAAAAGACAACCAATGGTGTCTTTGTTAACCACGGAAGCAGAATACCGAGCAGCAGCGATGGCAGCTCAAGAAAGTACTTGGCTTATGCAGTTATTGAAAGACTTGCATCAACCAACAGAGTATGGTGTCTCTTTGTACTGCGACAACTTGTCGGCAATACGTTTGGCGGAGAATCCAGTTTTTCACGCAAGAACTAAGCATGTGGAGGTGCATCATCATTTTATCAGAGAGAAAGTCTTGCAAGAAGAAATTGAGTTGGAGCATATCAAAACAGAAAACCAAGTTGCAGATTTGTTTACAAAAAGCTTGAGTAGCAATAAGTTCGAAAGTTTTTATCATCAGCTCGGTATGGTAAAAAGAGTAGAAGCTGGTGTTGAGGGGGAGTATTGAACAAACACAACACCAGCACGTGAAGTAGTTTTGAAGTGGTCAAATTTCAGTTTTACATGTCTTCAATAATGTAATAGTGGAGTCCTAGTTTGTAGGGGTTTGTTTCTACACGTTTTAGTTAGTGGGATATGTTAGTGGGTCTTTGTTATTGTTATCCTGTTGTTATTTTCTTGCTGAGTAGTTTTCAATGTTATGCCTATTCAATAGGCTTGTGATCTGTTGAGTAAAAGTACGAGAGTTTTTCAGCAGCAATTTTTTGTGTGTCCTCTTCTACTTTTTGCTCTCTTTAGAGGTTATTGAACCATACTTGCCGCTTGTTCTTTTTCAACACCTTCGTTCAAAATACATTTCGTGGTTAAAATGTGCAAAACTATCCGACCCAATTTTCTCAAAATCTCGGCATATCAAAGGAACTTGTACGCATATTCTCATTGTATGCGAACAGCAACTGGCTTACAGTCCCGGGACGCTGCATAAGAGAGTACACCGGTCATCATCATCGGTGTAACTTAGTCGATGCTGTACCTGAAGATGGATACTTTGAGGACTATGAGGTCCGAACTGAGGAGCTCGAATATGCAGATGTCTCCCACTTGAAGAGCATTGTCCCTTGCGAAATTGAACCACCCTGCGGAGATTTTGCTCTTGAAGCTATTGGAGGTGGGCTGGGGATAAACACAGAGCTTGATCGGCCATGTTCTGCGGCCAACTCTCAGAGTCCCCTTTATGTGGCTGTGTTCTAAGTACCTCTTGACGAAGCCGGCCGGTACAATCTATGAGCAGACCATCTGTGCGTTAGATAAATTGAAATCCACGAACGGCTGTGAGATCGGCTTGATTTGGTCCATTAGAAAACAAAACAAACTGGAGTACATCCGAACAAGTGTTTAGGGGCAAATGACTATTCGATTTTCGAAAGGGTGGACAGTTCGTGCTAAACTTGCTTGCAGTCTCAAAATAGTTTGTTCTCTATATGCATAGCATGTGTTTACTAACAGAAAAATATACTTGCTATTGTCACTGACCGGAGTAGATCTGCACAAGTGTTTCGGGCAAATGACTACTCGGAAGGATGGTCGGTTCGTGCGAAACTTGCTTGCAGCTTCCATAGATGTCATACCAGTTGGAGAAACTGTTCCGCCGGTGCTTTCCCCATCGCCGTGACTGCATGCCTTGGGCAGCGTGAACACTTCCATGGCTGAATATTAGAGCGAAGCATCATTGTGGAGATATTGTCTACATATTGTTTTCTTCTAATGTTAATCTTCTACATTTGGATCTGAAGCTTTTTTACCTGGTTCAACCTTGATACTTTTGCCTGCGGATTGATCACGAGAGGCGGGTTCTTCATTTTTGGCCTGGCCATACTCAGATTCATCAGGTTCGCCTGAGCTTGTTTGGAGCTTGAGTTGAGAAGCTTCTTTTGTTTGAACTGATCTCGCCCATAGAGGTAAAAAGAAAAACAAGGGTTGCACATCAAAATCCAAAATCATAAGGATCGCAATGGATCGTGCCCATTTGTAGCTGACGAGTGTTTGATTAAAAGTAATGCAAGCTCAAGGGTTGGACTAAACTAATTAGTTCAACAACCTGGTTGGAAAAAATGCTCCAGGTTTTATAACAATCAATGGAACCAAATCGTACATTTATCTAATAACTTAAACTTTTGAATAGCTTCGCCAAATAAGGACTTATTAACAAAAGTAAGATTGAATAAAAATCCAATACTAAATGCATCGTATCCAAACAGAAGATACAAAGTGAAGCAGATAATCGCATAAACAACCTCTAAATCATTAGATAACGAGTAATACAAATTTAGTGTGCAAATGACTTGTCACCTACCGAGTTCGATTGCGTCTTGGTTGGCTCTGAAGATGACAGACTCTGAATGAAACTCTGTCAACCTTCGTCGTCAGTTCAAACACACAAACATCACCTACCTTGAGATTATTGTCTTGCGCAAAAAGCTTCCAGCCACCGTTGATTTTGACTTGTAATTTTCGGCTGTATATCCCAAACCTATACCGGGCCGACCAAAATCTCTCATTGGACACGTATAGATCTATGTCTCCACCGCTTCTATAACTGGGAATATGCTCCATGAAAAACTTAGCCGGTGCATTCTGCAACATGGCATGTAGACGAAATACTTCTATGAAAGATATGGTAAAGGAAAGTTTTTATATATTTTAAAGTAATGCTATATATGTTAAGGCTGATTTAAAAAAAAGTGGTACAAGAAATAGTACGAGTGTTTAAATAAGTGAGACCATTTTCAACACTCAATAGCAATATCATGTAGCAAACGGATGATCCATATAGACTTGACTGTTCTTAAGACCACTCAAGAACTTTTAACCCCAGAGCATCTCACTGACAATTTTTGAATGGTGAGCAACACAATAGCAGTAGAGAAAGACTCTAGTTGCCTAAACTCATTTATGCCGGCAAGACCACATCGTATTTTTAACCAAACTAACCATGATTTTACTTTCCATCAGCATTTGTCGCATCATTTGTTAGCTGATAAGTATTAGTAAAGAATCTCAATACCAATGTCGTTACTGATAAGATCAAATGATGATTCAAATATCACTCTTGACTCTTTGGCATTAGCTGGAGCTTACTGACTTTATTCCCCTTACCAAAGAGTGGTGAATGAGGGATGGTTGCATTAAAGTCAAGAAGAATGGATTTGGTGATTGGAAAGAAGCAGCTCTTTTTAAGGCCTCCGATTTTGCACTGCCTTTGAAAGGACGGCATCTTCCCCAGTAGCCAGATTTGAGGCCTGCATTGACATCATAGACAATATTGCTTGCAGCACCTGCAATTTACAACATATGAATACAACAGCTTAAAGATCGGGTAGAGATGAATTAGATATAGCACCTTTTGGTTGCGGGAAAAGCCTTGTTGCCCTGAAAATCCTGTTATGACTAAAACTATAGTAGCTATGGCGTAGCTCTCTGTCAACCTTTGCTACATTATCTGACTCCTAAAATGGGTCTAATCAACACTCGGAAAATGCTTGATTTACTATAAAATTGTTTTGACAGACTTCTATAAGATAACATATATGTGTATGGTCCACCTTCCTCAAACGCTCACTATAATTTAGCACATTAGTCTTGTGCCTTGAGATATAACTAGCGTTCCTACAAAAATGTTTAAGTGGCTCATAATGTTCCAATAAAGAGTGCAAATTCAAGAGTTACCTCCAACTGCCTGCTTATTCAAGTGCTCATTCGTTCTCTTCTTCTTCTTCTTCTTCTTCAAAGGTGGAGATAATAATGTTGATGAAGGCAGCTCTCGCGTCTGATCGGACTGACCCTCAAATGCTTCAGCTAACGTGTCCCCTTCATTTTCTTCCCTTTTTGGCAAATCAGAAATGATGGGGTATTCGATCTCCGAAGCACTCTTGTCGAATATGACCACGCGAAACGCAGAGCCTCCTTCGTATCTGAACACTAGGAAGTGACCTTGTTCGATGGCGTAGTGCTTCGCGAAGTCCGGCCATCCTCGTCGGAGCCAAACGCCGCCGTATCCCCTCACCAGTTCCACTTCCCAAGCGTCACCGCTGGCTACCTGGAGGAAGACCAAGTCCGGCAGATCACTCCCATATTTTCTCACGAATTTCTTTGGAATCCCCTGTTTCATGATGAACATGGAAGCACAAAATTTATGTGACAAGTGCTGGTCCCAAAAGACAAAACACTTTTACCTGAAATTGGATGCTAACCCATGCTGCATACTAAAAATGCATGATGGTTGAATAAAGAAAGGTCATTCCATGCAAAGACACTGTGAGTGAGAGAGAGAGAGAGAGAGTACGAGTCTTCCATCTTGAAGGGCATCAGACAGAATGATCTTGAAGAAATGGGGAGTCTGGGACTCAAAACATCTCCCTCCCATCATCTCTTCAGAACTCTAGAGAAGTTTTACGTGCGCGCGTATGTGTTTGAAAGAGGTCTGGCGAGTTACGTGTAACGATGGAGTGAAGGGTTCTCGGGTTTTGTATCCTTGGTTTTAAATTTTCGTCGTTTTTCAAAGAGAAGGGAAAAGAGGTACAGTAAAAGCTCCGAAGGAACATCTGTCATAAGTCCTATTGACCGCTTCAACAACTGGTGTTGAACGTCAAACCGGCAGCCCTGCATTTTGCAGCATCCGGAAGGAAGACTCTGTGAGGCGTGCGAGCCCACTGTCAGTCTCCGTTTGTGGGTCACCAGAAACTGAAACTGAGGAGGAGGTGTCAGAGTCCCAAGTTCTTCCATCTCACGTTGACTTAAGCATTCATGGTAACCGGAAAGAACCCGAGAAAATATTAGGTGGTCCTTCAAAACGCTTGCATCTTTTCTCTCTCTTCATTACTTGCTGGTCTTCTTTTCCCTTCGTTTGCGCGAAGCCCCCCTCACTGACACTACTCTCTCTCCTCTGTCTTCTACATCATCTTCTGAGAAAAAGAGGAAGCCCGCTCTCTTTTTTTTCAAAATACTCTCATGCGTTTGATTCGGCTTTTCAAATGCTATTTGGAGGATGCAAATACCTTTAGGTGAAAATCACTTGAAAAAATATAAGTGGTGTTTGGTAAAAAAAAATTTGTAAAACTACTTTGGCCTAAATAATGTTTGGTAATTTTTTTTTTTGTAAAGGGCTTTGACAACTTTTATTTTTAATATTCCGATTTTGCCCCTATACTGTTTATCTTCTTCACCGGCGAGGGTGGCCGGCAAAGGGCCGACGAGAGCGGATTTGGGCGGCGAAGGGCCGGCGAGGTCGCCCGACCCAGGCGATGGTCGCATGGGGTCGGGCAACCGCCCGGGCGCCGTCGCCTGGGTTGCGCGAACCCAGGCGACCCAGGCGACGGGGTCGCGCGACCCAGGTGACGGCACCCGGGCGGTCGCCCCACCCCAGGAGGCCGTCGCCTGGGTCGGGTGATCTCGCCGGCCCCTTGCCGGCCCTTCGCCGCCCAGATCCGCCCTCGCCGACCACCCTCGCGGTGAGGAAGATGAACAGTAACAGGGGCAAAATCGGAATATTGAAATTTGAGTGAGGGCAATTTGGGAAGGGAAAAATAGGCTTTAGCATTCCAAATGCTAGCTTTCGGCTTTTCGGATTCGAAAAGCTGAACCAAACGGTTCAGCATTTGGCCAAGGGGCTTTCGAGGCCGAAAGCCCCTTCCAAATGCTGAACCAAACGGGCCCTCTCCCTCTCTCACTCCCAAGAGCCCGCGGTCGCGTCCCGAGCTCAGACCCGCCACCTCCAGCACGTCGCCTCCGCCTCCGCATCCACCGGCGCCCGTCAGGAGCCACACTCCCTCTCTCTCTCTCTTGCTTCCAAGAGCCCCCGCCGGTCGCAGCTGCCGGGTCCCGAGCTCCGCGAGCCATGAATTCCACGCGACACTCTCTCCCTTTCACTCTCCAATCCTGAAACTCACCCCGAACTTCCAAACAAGTCTCCTCCAAAACATGACGCTCCACTCCATCGTCATCCAGAAGCTCCTGAGCACGAACTCCCACCTCGGCCGCCGTGTCGCCACCCACAACTTCAAGCCCTTCACCTACGGCAGCCGCAACGGCATGGCCATCATCGACTCGGACAAGACCCTCGTCTGCCTCCGCAACGCCTGCGACTTCGTCGGCTCCATCGTCCGCCACCGGGGCCGCTTCATGTTCGTCAACACCAACCCGCTCTTCGACGAGATCGTCGAGCAGATGACGCGGCGGATCGGGTGCTACTCCCCCAGTGGCAACGCCCTGTGGCGGACCGGCGGGTTCCAGACCGACAGCTGCAGCTCAAAGAAGTTCCGGTCCCGGAACAAGAAGATCTGCTTCGGGCCGACGCAGCCGCCCGACTGCCTCGTGGTCATGGACATCGAGCGGAAGTCGTCGTCGGTGATCCAGGAGGCCAAGAAGCTGCAGATCCTGGTGGTGGCGCTTGTGGACTCGAGCATGCCGTGGGAGTGTTACAAGAAGATCACGTACCCGATCCTGGCGAACGACTCGGTGCAGTTTGTAATATGATCACCAAGACCTTCCGCCAGGGAGAGAATGAATATACGAGAAGGAGAGAAAGCTCAGTTATGTGGTAAACATAACTTTGGTTCTATCCGTGCCACCGAATTGACTTGGAATCGGTGAGACATCATGGAATTACGTCCGATATATAATTTTCCATACATGAGAAGAGTGATTAAATGGCGTATATTGCCTATTCTTATTACATTTCATAATAATTTGACAGGCAGATAGAAGTATAAAAACATATCTTATAAATGTGTAAGAGTTTCGAGGATCATGTGACAAAGTAGGTCCCTCTATGCAAAGAAAGAAATTACACACATTTACGAAAACATATTGCACTTGAAATGTCAAATCCTTTTCATGTAATATTACTTGTCCTCTCATAGTTAAAAAAAAGTTTTTATTTAGATTGTGATCTATAGCCAATGTTATTTTGCCCACTCCGACCGTACCCTTTCCAAACACTAGAGTCAAAATTCACAGGAATTCGAGCTTGTATTTACGCACTGCAGTACTAGAGTGAATATGATCGACACTAGATGTACGTAAGGCTTTAGCCCGTACTCGAAAGTATGTAGCATGATTTTTTTGTCTATGCCCAATCGGTCCAACAGCCGCGCTGCAGCAAAGGAAAGGCGAAAGGTACGAAAGTAGGAAAATAAAAAAGCAACAACCCTATCTTATATGGTCGACGTCCATTTCTTCATTCATATTCAATAGTTGAGTCTATTAAAAGAGGGACCGGCCTCGTCGTGGTGATTAGAGACATAAAGATATACTTTAGTCTTAGCTCTTCCAATCGAATATTGCAAATCATCTATGTCACTGCACATGAAAAAGAAAATCTTCACTATTATGTTAGAAGTGTCATTATTTTTAAGGATTATTATTGCGTCTACTGTTAGGGTAACGAACTTTTTTACATATCTACCGTTGGATGCGTGTTCTGCGTAGTTGAAAATATTAGTGCGATCGCATTCATCCATATCGGTGAATGTATAAAAATTTCTTTATACGGACGGTAGTCCTGATAAAAATCTTATTTTTTATGATTTTTCTTTTACTTTGAAAAAAGAAATACTTTATGACCTGAAAATTATTCATGCTAAATTTGGGACTTCTACGATTATAAGTCTATTCTTGCACTGCGAGTTCTTATCAAGTTCTTTTACAATGACAAGCAGTTCCAACAATAAAAAGAATAATCTGATTATATTTAAGTTTAGAAGAGATTTATAAATAATGTGCAAATTTAATATAATTGAAAAAGTGCAAGCAAAAGAAAAAATTAGGAGATTTTTTTTAAAAAATCAAAAGGACTTTTTAATCTTTTCACCATTCCTTTTATATAAATAAAAAATTGCATTGGGTAAGAGAGGCCAACTGAAGATTATTAGAAGGAGATGCTGTGATTGTTTTTTCCCCGAAATACCTTCCACTGCAATATTGAAACTGGTCATTGATGCGATGACAATTTGGAAACTAAGATTGTGTTTGTTTGAACGAAAAAAAAAAATTTCGCGAATTAATTTTCTGAGCTTGGTACGTGTTTGGTTTTATGAAAATGATCGGTCAACGGAAAATTATTTTACGGATAAAGAAAATATGCATGCTGAAAGTTAGGAAAATAAATTTTTTAACCTGAAAAGGCGAAAAAAATTTCTTGAAAAAGAATTTCCCAAAAAGCGTTGTCTTTTATTTTGAAGTTTTCTCCGAAACAAACACACCCTATCAATATAACTAAAAACGATTATGTAAGCAATTGGCTTCAAGTGTAATATAATCGAAAGTCTTTGTTTTGTTCCTAATTGCAATCCTTATTAGCCACTGAGGTGGAAATATTTACATTCAAGTTTGATTTGCTAGAGAAAGTGGAGCCTGTGGCTCCCCTCATAATAAAGTGCTAACGATAGTCAAGGGACTACAAACTCTCTTACTCGTCTCTTTCATAAGCCTTCTGATCAAGGCGCGGAATGAGCAGAACCTCAAGCGGGGTCGTCTTCAAATTCGTCAAGCCAGGGCCCTCGGTCATGTCCACCGGTTCGTCCGAGACCGTGTTGATTTCGAAACTTTGCAGCAAGCTAGCCAGGGTCAGGTGCATTGTGTGAAGAGCCAGCGAGGTTCCGGTGCAGGACCTCCTCCCCGCGCCGAAGGGGATGAGCTCGAAGTTCTGACCTCTCACATCCACATTCGCATACGTCGTGAGGAACCTCTCGGGCTCGAACTCTTCAGACCATACTCGCTCATCCCTCTGTATTTTCCAGTAGTTGAACAGCAAACGCGTACCTAACCATTGACACAGTACATGGGCTTTTCTAGAAATAGTGCAAACACGGGGAAATTTATCACAGATATTAAGGAATGAAGATGCAGGTTAAAGTCACAGAGAAATTTTGGCAAGTTAGGAAGGGGACTTGCCCTTTTGAATCAATCGACAGATTCAAATTCTGAGTTTAAAGACATAAAAAGTTTTTGGATTTTGACATGGTACAAAGACTACGTGACTCATTGTTACACAACTCACATCCATCAAGTTGGCACGAGTAGTTGTGATTTGAAAAATTTACTAATTACCCAAATCAATGGTAATGTATATGAATTGTATAGAAGAAGATACCACAAGTTGTATATTTAAAACTAATCCAAAAACTTTTTCTACAACATCGTGATTGGTTATGGTCTAGACTTCTGCTGCTAGACCCGACCATAATCCTGTGTAGCAACGTGGTCCATTCACGACCCCATGAAAAAAGACATGGACTGCATGTTTATTTCATGAATTGGCCCCGATTTATCACTTCGATTTTAGAGTATATTTTTCAATGCCAAAGAGATCGTACTATATATCGACGTCCTATATGCTATCGATTTCTGCTAGCACGCAAGGGCCACATACCTGCAGGAATGCGGAAGCCGCCGGAGAAGGTGCAATCTTCCATGGAACTTCTGAGACCGACGATCGGAGCCGGTGGATACAAACGCAGTGTTTCCTTGACGATGGCTTGGAGGTAGGTCAAGTTCTTCACATCGGACTCTTCCACATGCCTGCTCTTGCCGACATGGGTGTCCAGCTCTTGTTGCGCCTTTTTCAATACGCGGCGGTTGTTCACTAGCAGCGATAGCGCCCAGGTGGTGCCCACTACCAAAGTATCCGTCGCAGCTACTATAATGTTCTATATCCAAAAGGAAATGGGATTAACTCAATTGCTTTAACATGGAAAGGTTGGAAGATGTCGGATGATGGTGATATGGACTAGATTTAATATGATTTTGATGTATCATGTCTCCTATTCAGATGATTTGAACAAAGTAATTGTAAACGAACTTAAATCAAACTAGATTCGAAAGATCAACATTTCACACAGATTGCATCTCGAAGAAGAACAGACTTAAAATAAGTAGTCTAAATTTTTATTTGCCCTCAAATGGTTGCTGAAGTTGAAAGTGTTTTCGTCCTTTTAGTTTGAAGCCTAATTCATCATCTTACTCCACTTCCATAATATAAATCTCATGGAACGTGAGATGGGGAATTGTTAATAGCGCACAGAAATTCGATACCTTCAAAAAGCTGAAGTCTGAACTCGTCATCATATTCAATTAAACTACCTTTACTCAAAATCTTAAAATAATGAGTGATGGATTAATTACTATATATTAACTGCTTTATATCATATTAATTTTTTTTAAGACTTTTTTAGCACAACTCAGTAACGGGAATTATCAGTTAGCTAAACAAAGAGTCCAAACCTTTTTGCCTAGGCGATGGATTCTTACTTAAGAGGTACAAAGTTATCTGGCGCTTTGTGCCATTTTCTTTCTACTTTGGACATTTTAGTTGGTCTCTGACTAATCTCCTCCGTCCAGCGGAATAGAATTCATGGTTGATAATGATACAATTAACGCTATCTTTCAAAAGCAGTCAAGAGTTCGTCTCTTTGTGTTGAAGAGTGGACAGATGTCGTTACAGATAAGACGTAAACTTCTGACTTGTCAACTATTTTGTCAAGTTAAGAACAGAAGTAGGCCAAATAATGCTAGGTAGGAAAATTGATGGGTACCGATCGGTCACAATACTGTCTTTTCCTAAATCGGATGGTTGCAATCGCTCCTCGAGCACAAAAAAAATCTATTCAGGAGCATCTGGCATTTGCTTCAGATGAACATACTAAAACTGTATTTTTCTTTTGCCAGATACTAAAACTGGATTACTAAATGATATTTGAAGACCCATTTGCAATCAGCGGTATATCTTAGTTTACTATGTTAGTAGACCGATCTTAATATATTTAGCATCGTTCTTCATGTCTCCTTGTTTACAACTTCCTATGGAGTTTCTTACAGCAACTAAAAATTTATACTGACCATAAAAAAAATTATGATTCTGTAAGTCCTAGAAGTAGATAGCTCACACAAGTTTAAATGTTTCTCTATTACCGGTGTAAAACTATTGCAAAATCTTGATATGATCAAACTGTACTTCGAAAAACATGTGAAGTTGTGAACATGAAATAAGTTTATTATCATTAAATTATAAGTGGATTTTGCCAAAAGTACTATACTTCTGCTGCTTATGGATGAAATGACAATTCCAACAGAATTGCATTCATGAAAAAGAAGCATTAGAGAATGCATTAGCATGATCTCAGATCAAATTTTATGCACACAGTTCTAGTTTCAGAACATTGTAAGCTAGATACTCACCATACAAGTTGCCTTAATAACTGTATCGGCGTCAAAATCTGAAAACTTCACACCTTCGACGACGTTCAGCATCAAATCCATGAAATCCTGCTCTCCATCGCCCCCAGGGCGGGACAACCTCTTCCTTCTACGCTCCTCTAGCCACCCCTGAGCCAAAACATCCAACTCTTTTGCGGTCTCGTTCATCAATCGTTTATAGCCACCTAAGTCCAACCAGCCGAGAGCTGGGATGGCATCTGACAACACGACGACTCCGTATAGATAGAAAAACCTCCTGATTGACCTTTGGAACCTCTTTG